TTTTTTTTGTAATTGTGTTAGATTTAAAAAAAAAATCTACAGTTAAATAAAAAAACACCAAAGTTACAATGCATAAATAATTTTGCAACAATAGTTCTGAACCATTTGAAGCAAAACTGAGAATTTAAGAGGTTTTTGATGTGCAACTTGTGGAACAGAATTTGTGTACTTGTACTTAAAATTTGAACAGGTGTTAAAAAAAAAATGTACATTGTGATTTTTTTTTTCTTTTATTCTACACATACAAAACTTAGAATGTAACTCTCTCTACAACTTCAAATTCACACTTACAATGCACAAATAGTTTTGAAACAAAAATAACCCGTCCTCTTCCATCGCTTTAGGAATAAAAAGGTATCCTGTCGTTCTTCCTGGAGGCCACGCCCATCCTACTTCTGATTGGCTGTTCGTCCAAGCAGGGAAAAGACAAGCCAGTTCCTGGATTCCGATGTCGGCCTAGAGAGCGGCTAAGTAGGTTGTTGGTGGCTAACTGAAGTAGGGCTAAACCGACCCACACGACACAGAAAAGACACTTCAAACCGTCGACATTTGGGTACGTGTTTTGTTGTTTCCATTTACTAAACTATTGGGATAAAAGTGTCGGCATTTGTTCATCGAATCCTCATGAAAGCTTCTCTACGAGCAGCTTTCATGCTAGTCAGGTAACTAACGCTAGCTCACTCCTGTAGCTGTGGTAAAAGACCGAGGAGTGTCGCAAAAAACTTTCGAGGCTGGATACAAATCATGTGAGCCATTCCTATATCGATAGTTGTCTTTTCATTTATTATTTGAAATAAAAAAATAAATAAAAGGCTTTTCTTAGTCTTGGTATTTGTGTTTTTATGAGAATGTCCGCGGTGAGTAGATTATGGGTAACGATAGTTGAGTTACGCTCGCCTGGCCTTGCTCCTTTTCTTATCTTAACCTATTCACTTGTATCATATTTTTATTAATCTGTTCAACCCTCTGTTTTAGTTCGGGGTAAAGGTGTTATATTGGCCACTTAGCGGTGTTGGTTGTAGTAGTGACACGACAAGCAGCAGAGCTCGACACGGATTTAGGATTAACATCCATTATAGTCTGGGTGGTGGGGGGGATTTGTTGTGGGGAAGATGAGATGATTAACATGGAGAGCTTTTACAGTGTCCCTGGCCGAGCTCCTGATTACCTTATGCAGATGATTGTTGGACAGAGGGGTGTGTCTTTCAGACTATCAGATTACACCGTTAACATCGGATCCGTTTTCCCTTGGTTTCTGCAACACCAGTTTTCTTTTCCAGTTAAAGTAAACAAGCATCGTGATCGTGTGTGTGTGTCACAGATCTTTGTCCCCGCGATGATGTGCATTTCTAGTATTGGGAGGTGTTTTTATTTTACGCCTGAGGGCATTGACGTTATGGCTGTCTAACAGCAGTCAGTTAAATAAGTCCATGAGTAATGGTGAGAAGAGTTGGAGCTACAGTTTTCTGTCAGCCTGTTGTGAAATCAGAATGAAACCAAACTTTGGAGAGCTAAACTAAAGTTAAATAACTTTAAAAGACTGTACAGTGTCCTGGAAAATTATTTAAACTTCAACACATTTATGTGACTGACCAACCAGTATTATAATCTTATGACTTAAGAAATGCGTTGCTACACGATTTTCAAAGTTTTTGTTTGTACTCATCCCCTCTTAGTCAATATGGTTCTGGTAGAGGGGTAGAAGATGAAACAGAAAGTCTTTTAAACATGACTAAGACATGTAAGGGACTAAAAAAAAAAAAAAACAAACTTGTAAGGCTGCTTTCAATACATTTTCTTGTCGGCTTTTAACTAGTGTTGCACCAATACCAGTATCGGGCGGGGTATCGGTGAGTACCAACAAATAGAGCACAGAGACCATTTTTAGAGCCAAAAGTTTATTCAGCTATTGTCACCCATTCCAGATAAGCAATAAAAAGTTCTACTGGATTCACTTTGAATTAAGGCCAATTTATGATTCTGACGCATAGCCTCTGCAGTCGTCAAATCTATCTCTGTGCATGACCTCGTCCCCGTGCAGAGGTTTTGCAACTGTCGTTGCACACCTCAAAAAAATCCTGACTATGCTTCAGACGGTTGTAAACCCACGCAGACTTCAAGCGGAAGTGCGCAGACAAACAGCAGCTGTGATTGGTCCTTCGTATGCCTTTCCCGCTGTCTGTGTGGTCGTACTTCTCGATTCGGTGCCGGGGCACGCCATTTTTAAAAACCGAGGAAAAACTACAATGACGAAACTATGACGAAATGTTAATCGCTCCATTAACAGAACCTATTCCTCTTCGACGTCTAGCAACTCTAGATCCATGTCCGTGACCGTTATAGCTTGCAGATGCGCCATTGTTGTTTTGGAAGATAAACACTCCCGCCGGCGTCGCCAAAGTCCTCGTGACCATCCGTCAAAGTTCCTGCGAGTTCTCAAATAGGCTTTCGCTTTGGCAGAGAACTGCTGTTCATCCCTAGAAATTCCAAACCGATGGTGCAGAAGCATACCAGCAAAACTGATTCGTGACCAGACCCAGGCTACATTTGATGTTTGCAGTTGCCGAAGTGAAATCTGCCCTTGCGTCTTTTCCTGCTTTACAAACGCAGGCAGCAGCTTGAGAAAGCCGCGATGGCAATTATTTTACATCCAAGTAGTATGCAGTACTTCATATATATATATACACACACACATCAATTTCAAACAGATTGTATTGGTATCGGCCAATACTGCACAGCCAGGTATCGGTATCACGGCCAAAAAAATGCCATCTGCGCAACACTACTTTTAACCGTACTCAGACTTTACAGCCTGTCTAATTATTTAAGCTTTTATTTATTTGATTAATTGGATAATAATTCAATAGCCAAATGTGCTTATATTGAATTTACGACAAGCTAAAATGGTGTCACTTAAGTTCCATACGAATCACATTTACTGCGTTGTCTCTCCCTTTTTTATTTTACATTTATCAGTGATTGTAATACCCAGCATTCACAATGTCACATTTTAAACTTGACTCATGAGTCTGTCATTCTGTCCCCTCTCAGCAGCAGTGACCATGATCATGAGCCAGTGGTCAGAGATTTGACTCAGTGGTGTTAGTCCTCCTTTTTTAAAGTAAAACATCACAAAGACAAAGGAACTGCTTTTAATTCTTATGAAAGACAGCACCACCACCATCACTAGATATGTAGAGACTGAATCTGGTAATTATCTTTTGATAACAGACTAACCTTTGAAGCCAGTCCGGACTCTGAGAAGGCTCATCGACAATTATATTTTAATTGGTTGCCAAGTTTCATCCTTGTTTTATTGAGTCTTTATTAATGCTGAGGAAATGGCGTAGGGAAAACATGCGACAAAGGTCCTCAGCCTTTGCCCGTCACTTTGAGGAATAAGGCCGCTGAAAATGGGTTGCACATTGTGCTCCTTCACCACCACAACATATACACTTCTATTAACTCTTGACTCACTAACTTGAATAGTAAGGAGGACGTTTCTCTGTAAGTGCTGCCGTACCATTTCTGGACTATCGTATGTTATACTCATGCTTTGCACATCTAAAATAAAAAGTTTTGAACATTATTTTACAAGTCTGATTAAGGTTTCTTTAATGTGTGGAATCGAATTTATGTCTGGACCCTAACCTGCCTGTTACTGTTTACTTTTAGCTGATGCCTAATGGTGCGTTCAGGCCACATGCGGCAGCTTTAGTGAACGCCGTGGATTCGCATAGAATTCCTGTACAAACCGGGCGGTGAAGCGACCAGTGGTGAACTCCACGCAGTGAGAGCGCTCACTGCTCCTCCCTCTTGTCGTGTTGCTAGATAAAACTGAGGTGTTTCAAAACGACAGCTCCGTGTGGAGAGAGAGGAGCAGTGAGAGGAGCACTTTCCTATGAAGTCGTGACATGGCAGCCAATCGGACTGGTTGTAGGCAAAGCCTTTTTTTTTTCACTTAAAAACGAATACAGAGAAAATTATATTAAAAAAATTTAGAAATAAGGAATGTGCTGAAGGGGTCTGAAGTGGCTTTAAAAAAAAGCAATTTTAATCTAGTCCTGGAAATACTGCTCATCCTCACTCACCTCCAGCACAGAGCCCAGTCTGTCATTGCACGCAGCCCAGCATCGGTGCTATCCGAGCGGGTAGATTTATAAGGAAGTCCCGCCTAATCCGACCAAATCAGACCTGTATCTGGATGAAGCAAAGTCGACTCTTTTTCTCAGAGCTTTTGGTGGTTATCCAAAAAATTATGGTCTCCCCAAGGCGATTTTAAAGTTTTATAAGGAACAATTTAGAATCAGTCCATGGTGTTAAGTTTCACCTGTGCTTTTATTGTGAAATGCCGACAGACAGCTCAAGATCTTTACAGGAAATTACATGGAGTTTTTAGGGGTAATGACAGGTCCAAAGCAAAGCATCTGGGGGGCTGGTGATTTAATAAATATTAATCAATCACTCCAGCCACTAAATGAGCTAAACATGCCAACTGTTCTATTCAATACCAGGACAGGAATGACTTGTGATGTTATTCAATAAATGTATTTCAGGAAACAAGTGAAGCACAAACGTCTGCTGGGATGTTGACATCATTAGCCAAAATTAAAAATAATTCTATCTTAAAAAAACAAATCAGTAAAAATTATAGTTTTTCCTGCACAAATGAAGTAGCACTGAAAAAAAGTAGGATAGATAAATTAGATTCAATTCAGAGCTTAATGGGGTGATAGTTGACCTCTGAGTGACCTAAAAAATAATCTTTAATATTTCTGAAGCAACAGCAGCACATGTTATCTTTTTTACTTATTTTTTTCATTTTTACAAATGACCATTTAAAATGCACAAACTTGCACAAAAAACCCCAATAACAACGTAGTCTACTTGCTGAGTTTTTTTTTTTTCAAGTCGGTCAGGTTTCAGCTTCATGTGGCTGAAGCTCCTCCTATTTATTGATGCGGTCCATGGTGTAAACACTGTGCATCTGAAATGCAGAGCAGTTAACTACCTGTGGGGATCGCAGAAATCCCTGCGTTCACCGCCTTCTGTAGGAACCCACTTTAAAAGGTACTTTTCAACCATCTGACATGTTGTCTACCAGCATTGGCTTACAAGCATCCTCGCTGCCTGATGCTACCAACACCATGTTTTACTGTGTTGATGTGTGGTGTAGGATTTTAATCACACAGCTTATTAAACATTGGCCAGAAAGTTAAGTTTTAATCTCTCCTGACTTATTACCAACAAAACTTGTGGCATTTTTTTTCTTTAAACAAAGCTTACACCTTAAGGGGCAGATTTGTGAAAAATACAAATCTAAAAGTTGTCCTTTTAACTTTTTAAAGTCATATGTATGCATGATATGTATATTTTTAATCCTTTCAGACTTCTTAATATGTTATTTTGCTGCTGTTTCAGGTATATTCTGCTGTTCATCTACAGAGCCAGAGCAGGAAGGAGAACCTTGAACCAAAGAAACAAAGAGGGCTGATATGTATCCATCTACATGATATCCAAGCAGCTGGTCACTTTCCATAAGGGATGCAGAATGAGAGAGGACGGCTATCTGCGAAGAAAGAGGTGGGAAGGGTCCCTGCAGCACCAATCCCAGGCCAAGAGCAGTGGCACCTTGCTGAGCTATGTTGGGCTTCTTTATGGAAGGAGTTGATTCTGTCACAGTACAAGTAGAGTCTGAAGCTTCAGACTGAAGAGTCCTGTCTGAAGACTTGAACAGAATCCTCGTGGATGTTAATTTTTTTTTTAACCTTTTAAAGCAAACAACTTTATGTTTAACTCTTTAAAACTCTTTAGGCCTTTTTTGGAACTCTTAAAAGTATTTTTTTTAATCACTCCCATTTGTACACTTTTTTTATGTTGTGAAGCTTCCCACAACTAACTTAAAGGTGGATTTGTTTGAGTTGGTTTCCCTTCCTGACCGAGTTTGAAATGCCAGAACTGCATCTCCTGTCACCATCCTGAGTTTCTTCCACCCATCCAGTGCCTAAATAAGCCCCCTGGGGACGAAGTCATCAACAGCTGCTGTGCTCAATCCTCTCTGCCTCTTCTGCTCCATGTGCTTCTGTTCTGTCTGATGGACTACCTCTTTAGTTTTCCTTTTATTCTGTTATCTTAACAGGATAATCAGAAATCAAGCACAGTGATGAACATTTGATGAAATACTACCCCAGTTTTTAGGTTTTGTGCATGTTGTTTTTTTGTTTTTCATTTTTGTATATGCACAGCAGCATTTATACTGTTGCATTACTGCACCAAATACAGTAACATTAAGCCATAACATATTTATAAATTGCATACATATATTTTTGTACCGTTTAGTCTTGTATAAAGATAAAAAAGTATGCATAGAATCTAATGATGTAAAGAAGCTGTGCACATTCTAGTTCTGTGTGTTTAAAACTGTTTTAAATTGGTGCCAGGGGACATTTAAATCTGCGCACAAAGAACCCCTCATGTTTTCATTCAGGTTCTTGTTATCATAGCGTCAGTTTTCCAGTCTTTACCCATGAACCCTCTTAAACACCAAAATTCCCATTTTGAACTGTAAAACCCACTTCCACAGTAGGTAGACTGTTGAATATCTACCTCCCTCTCTTCTTCCTCTCTGACACTGATGCCCAGTTTCAGTGGTGGGGTGGTTGGGGGAGGAGTAGGGGGCCCAGCTTCTGCTCCTCCCCGTCCGTTTCGCCCCAGCCGATATGTGCCGGTGTCTGCAGCCACAACTTTCCTGGTTGGGGCCACAACCCTCTTCTTTTGCTTCACGTGAGTATTTATTCATTTTATTATCTTTTTGTTAAAGCCATCTTGATAAAAAAATGTTTTAGTTTTTTTTACAGATGTATCAATATATATCGAACCTTTAAATGCGCACCTTCAGGTTTTATTATGTCAAAGCATAATTTTAACGAAAGTTTGTTTCAGTAATTCAAATCATTTGGCCAGCTTGGTTGGGATACCAACTGTTGGTGCAGATTGTGGGTAGATGCCAAGTACTCCAGGAAAATGAAACCAGCATCTTCAAAAAGCTTTTCAATAGCAGGAAGTATGAAGTGCTGTAAAATATCCTGATAGGCTGTAGGCTGTATTGACCTTTGATTTAATAAAACACAGAGAACTCCTGCAGATGTTGTGAATCTCCAAATCATCTCTGATTGTCTGAATGTCAAGTAATTTAGATTTACAGTCTCTTAACTTTTCCTCCGGGGACTCTGGGGCCTTGATTTCTGAAGGAAATATGATGTTGGCCATTGAATAAAAGTTACCCAGACATGATGCTTCTCATAGCATTTGTGATTCTGGAGTTTCCAACTGAAGGAGCAAACAGCTGTACACTGCATTTTGCATCCGTCTATGTTTTGTTCTTGACTCAATAACTTTGCAGACACTGGTTATCCGTGTTGTTCTTTCTCCCACATTTTTTCTTTTACTTGACTTTCCATAACTGGGCTAGTTTTACACTAGCATTTACATATGCACACTCTCTGCATTGGAAGGAGATTTTTACTGCAGCTAGTGCAAGATGAGCACGATAAGGAGATGTAATGTGGGCGAGTGTTCAGCATGCCTGGAACACAGACTGAGAGGAGAGTCGATGGCGAAGAGCCACTGATTTAATGTTAGCATTTATTTAAAAAAAACGCTGTCAAAGCCAAAATGTTGCTCTGATTTGATCATTTTATCCAGGAACAGAAAACTTAATGTACGACTGAAACAGCTGTCATCTAAAGAAGGTCCTCCTCACATCTCAAAACTACCTGACAGCTGCTGCCTTTAGCAACATTTATTACACATTTTACACTTGTAACAAATATTGCATACCTACCTCCAGTTGTATTTACCGGTAAATTCTTTTCCAGTTTTAATAAAGATTGAGTGCCTAGTTAATTTAGCTTATAACTAGTTAGTTCGTGCAATAACTAAGTTACTAACTTGATGAAGTAAAAAACTAGTTAATTTTTTTTTAAATAAATAACATTCCCATCACTTTTGGTCAGCAGTCTTTGAACAGCCAGCCTCTTTAGTGATTTTGTGTTTGTCTGTTGGCATCGGTTTTGTAAAACATGACCAATACATAGTGTAGCTGAATTAAAACATTTTTTTAGATGCATGGAAATCCAAGTTTTCAAAAGAAAAACAAGTAATTTTTTTTGGATGGATAAAGATAACGTTTCATGTATAATGTTGAATAATGTTGTAATGAAATATTTCAAGGGTTTACATTTTGTATTGAATTACTGAAGTAGATCAAGTTTTCGAAAAATATTCTTTTAAGATGACCCTTTGTCTTAAAACATTGTGTAGAATTAAAAGCTGCTGGTGTTGTGGTTTTCTTAGCTTTTATTTGTTCATACTGAGAATTTCCAGACCACTGTTGCCTTCTGTTCAGTCATGCTCCCGCAGTTTCACGCTGTTACAGCTCTGCATGTGGTATAAATTTAGCCTCTGCAGTCTCAATGGAGGCGTTCGGGAGTTAATTTGTCTTTCTTACAGACTCTATGGAGTCTATGGAGTGAAAATTAGTTTTTTTTTTGTTCTATCTTTATCTAGAAATCTTACCATATTACACCAAACTGATTCTTTAAGTTGTTTTAATGAATCTCCCTTCCAGTTGTCCATGGTTGTCAGAGGACATCTCAAGTGTGGTCCCCATCTACATGGCTGTAATCTTTCTATTCACTCTTGCCAACTTTTGCATGGCTACATTCATGGATCCTGGAGTCTTCCCCAGAGGTAAGGATGTGGTGCACATGCAAATGATGCAAATGCATGACAAAATAGGTTGTTGCCGTACCAATGGATAAGCTTTATATAGAAAGGGGTAGGCCTCTCTGGTCTTCACGGGTGTGTGTCCTCTCCATTTTAGAGATTCTTCTGCCAAACACACCTTAATTTAAACAAATGATGTGTTTAAGGTGTGTTTTGCATTTTTTTTTGTCTGCAGCTGAGGAGGATGAGGATAAGGAGGATGATTTCCGTGCTCCTCTCTACAAGACTGTTGAGATCAGAGCCATCCAGGTGCGGATGAAGTGGTGCTCAACCTGCCGGTTCTACCGACCGCCGCGCTGCTCTCACTGCTCAGTCTGCGACAACTGTGTGGAGGTATAAATGCTAACATGGACATATGCATGCTGTAATAATCATCTAAATATGGGAAACTATCTGAGCCGTTCAAGATTGATTTCTTTTTTTAAATTGATAATTAACTTTATTAATTATTGCAGATCTACAGTAATACAGAATTGTGTTCTACATTTTAGCCACTGCTTAGGCAGTCTGCAGCCCTCAGGCAGCTATCTGGGCTAAAGATCTTGCTAAGGGACCTGGAGGAAGTCTCTGTGGTTTGAGCTTGGTACTACAACCTCCTGAGAATGCAAGCGCTCTGCTCTAACCGCTAAGACACTTCTTAACCTGCCACAGACACGTGTCTATTAAATGTAGTGGCTTGCTAAACTATTTATGCATATTTTCACTTTTTTATTGGAATTTTAGGAGAAAGACCAACACAAGATTGCAGCTGCAGCAAAGGGATGTTTTAATGATGCCCTTTATTGTGTCTTGAAAGACCTGTAGATATCAATAACTGGCTGCTGTAAAATATATATATATATATGTATATTTAAAGAATAGATGATTGTGTTACATTTCTAGTGATCTGATTTCTTTTAACCTGTTTTCCTTGACTCAATTAGTCAGACTTATGAAATCGGGCTCTAGTTGCTGCCTACTTGGCTGATATGCTGTGTAAAAGGCTTAAGTCAGTCTGTTTGACCAGGCTAGCCATGTTGGGGACACGGCAAACACGTGGATGAAACTGTTTTGTTCAGAAGGGACAGTTAGTGAACTTTTTGGCCAAAACTCTGCCTGTCCCTGTGAACACACCATCCCCACTGTTAAATATAGTGGTAGTAGCATCATGCTGAGGGGTGCTTTTCTTCAGCAGGTAGGAGAATTTGATCAGAGTTGAGACACGATGGATGGGGCAAAATACATGGCAATCTTGGAAGAAACTCTGCAGAAGTCTGCACATGACTTTAAACTGGGGCGTATGTTCACCTTCTAATGATCCTAAACATGGAGACATGGCTATAATGGGATGGCTAAACACAATGGCCCCTGTCAAGGTCCAAACCGAAACCTAATTGTGAACCTGTAAAGATCTGAAAACTGCTGTTCAATAACACTCCGTCTAGTTTGACTGAGTTTGCAAAAAAGACTAGGCAAAACATTCATTCACTAGTGCAAACCTAAAAGACACCATGAAAGACTGGTTGCTATAACTGCAGCAAAATCGTGTTCCGCTAAGTATTCATTCATTAGGGCTGAATACTTCTGCACAATTTCATTTTCAGATTGTATTTCAGACTGTATTTATTTGTGAAAAATAAAAGAAAGTATAATTTCATTTCAAATTACCATTTGTGAACCACTTTGTGTTGATCTTCTACATGAAATTCCAATGGAAATAATAACGTGACAAAATGTGGAAAGGTTCAGAGGGTACAAATACTTTTGAAAACCACTGTGTTTGCTGTGCTTTGCTAAATTTTGTATCTCTTAATCTCTTAAGCCCAATGGGCCAGGTACCGGGTCCAGCTGATACATGTGTATTTTGATCTATTTATAGTAGGGCTGGAAAAACTAATCGGATTAATTGATTATTGATAAAATTGTCAACTAATTTAGTAATCGATTAATCATCAACTGGAGTATAGAGACTGTAAAATATACCTTTAGTTTACAGAGCGACCCAGTTAAAGCAGTGATTAAATTAAAATTGTAAAAAAAAAAATCTATATATAAACAAAAAAGTTTTCATCTGTCAACATGCTCTATCCAGAACTCCTCAAGGGGAAAAGTTTTAGTTTCACCTGGTTTAATTTAGTAAAAAAAATCTTTAAGGAACATTTTGCCATCCGATTATTAAACGATCGAAAAAATAACCAACAGATTAACTGATTTGCAGAAATGCGTTAGTTGCAGCCCTAATTTATAGATATGGCTGAAACACTTTGACATTTCATTTTTAACCTACATGACTTTCAAGAAGGGGCTATAAAGCTTTTCAAAATATTTTTTGCGCGCATACTGTTTGTTTTTCAGCCCTGTAAACAAATAAAATGAGATCTGAAATTCCACCTGACATGTCGGACTCGGCTGGAATTAAAAACGGCTGTGTGCCTCTAAGATTTCTTATTTGTGGTTGCAATGTAACCTCATTCCCTCTAAGCTGTCTATTTACTTTGACATGCATCCTCATTATTTTTTTTCTTTCTCCCAGGATTTCGACCACCACTGTCCCTGGGTGAACAACTGTATCGGCCGAAGGAATTATCGTTATTTCTTCCTCTTTTTGCTGTCTTTAACCACCCACATTGTGAACGTTTTCGGCTTCGGCTTGGTTTACGTCCTGCATCACCGCCACCAGCTGGACACGCCGCATGCTGCTGTTACGTATCCTTTACAGTGGGATTTCTAAATCATGAAAGTGCAGAATGGGACTCTTATTTTTACCTTTTTGATTCTTTTATATCTGCGTTTTGAACTCTTTAACCTTGCTTCCCAGTATGGGTGTGATGTGTGTAGCTGGTCTGTTTTTTGTCCCAGTTGCTGGCCTGACTGGGTTCCACATAGTACTGGTGGCCCGTGGTCGGACCACTAATGAACAGGTACAAACTGGAGCTTATTATGCATCTGTTCCCCTCCCTGAAATGCATTTTTTTTCTTTTAAAACCCATTTTGAGCATGTTTGTTTGTGTTTTCCACTGTAGGTGACAGGGAAGTTCAGAGGAGGTGTCAACCCTTTCACCAAGGGCTGCCTGAGGAATATTTCCCATGTTCTCTGCAGCCCCCTGGCCCCGAGGTCAGCACTCCCTTCTTCGCTTCACGCACATGTTCACTTCCTGGCTTTCTTTTTCTTTTTTGCACTGCTCTTTTCTCTGTGTTTCCCTCCCTCCCCCCTCTGTTCCTGCTCTCATTAGGAATATCTGAGCGTAGGCATTCCCACAGTCATATATTCCGTTTCTCATGGAATCGCCCATCTGCTCTCACTGTTTTTGCTCTCTAAGGAATGAGGCTTACAGGTGTGTACTTGTTATAGGTACATGGGCCGCTGGTGGAACCGTCAGACAGTGGAAGTGCAGCCCCCGTTTTTGAGACCGTCTCTAACTGAGGCACAGCTTGAAGCTAAGGTTCTGGACAATGGCATCCAGAATGACCGACACAGCACCAGGGTGGGTCGTCCTCATGTTCTCCCACCTAAACCCACAATCAGTCTATTCTCAGGAGGAAAAAAAATAACACCTTTTTTTTTGGTTTAAACCCATTTTGGTCAAAGGAAAGATGATCAGTCAAAGCTTTGCTTTAAATCTCAGCCTTTTCCAGATCGCCTTTTATGCCTTCAACAGTTGTTGATGTTTTATTTAGCTGCTGCTTTGCTGGATGACAGCTCCTACTAGTTTATGTGTCTAACAGTTAACCGTATCTCCACTAGTCTAAGAGCAGTCTGAATCAGATGGAGAGCCAGTCTGAGGATACAGAGGCTCCTCCTCCTCCGAAGCCGGACCTTCGTTATCCCGGTCTACCCCGGGCCGACACAGAAGGTCAGAATTTTGTTTTCTTTTTTCTGCTTATACTGTTGCCAGTTTTGAAATTTGGGATGGATATTATCTGACACCTGGGCTGGAGTGGGACTAACTTTCAGCCCTGGAGTTTCATGCCTTAGACAGGCCCACTTAAGATAATGACCTATTATTAATCAAAATCACGTAGTCGTAAATTTATAGGTGAAGTTTACCACATCGCCTTGTTCTCTTAAGGCTTTAATTCAATTTAATTCAGATTTGTTCAAACATTAGTGCAAATTCCCAAAATTGTTCTTCATAACATCCTATTCAACAACATCAGAATCAATTTTCTGTTCAAATAAGTGTTCATAGATATCCAAACCTTCAAAGTGAAATAAAATTACTGAAAATAATTGGACCTGAATCAAATAAAAATAGTCATCTTGAAAATGTATTCGCACATTCAATATGGAAAACAAGTTTGAACTTAACCAATTAAGATTGTCAAGGACTGAATGATCAGATTTATTTAATATTATTTCATTTCACTACTCTCTACATGTATGCTAAAAATGTAACCGGTCACCTGTATGACTTGGGTATCGAAACATTTAGAATTTATGATTGTTTGATTTATACCAGCTTATCTATAGAAGCACCTGTTTCTTCCATACTAAAAGGAGCAATCTCATCATCACTGCTAGTTTTACATCTGACACTAAATAACATTTGAAAAAAAAATGTCATACTTCTGAGCATAGAAAACTGCACAATACTCTTCATTAGATTTAATATTCACTTAATGAGTAATCCTACCTGCCTCATAGCTGGTAATGGTTCTGCTGTATAGTACCTCTGACCCTGAGAGGCTACTAGACAAATATTCCCATTTATGCAGCATTACATCATGTTACTGTTTAAACTATATAACATTTAATTATTCTCCACAGCACCACGCAATACAATGACTTGATTATTAACATGTTCAATGGTTTGCAGGAAAAGTTGCAGGAAATCTTTTCTCTCCCATTCTATCAGTGTCTTCCCAAGTTATAATCCTTAATCTTGTTTTACTAAAAAAGCACCCAATTTTTATACATTCAGCAGGGTCTGTTTCCAGAGCTTTCCTCTTTAATTTTGGTGTTCTCTGCACAGTCTTTGCTCCTTTTACTCTCCAACTTCCAGACACCATTGACCATCTCAGTGCACCTATGTGTTACGTCAGGGAAAAGACAGCTGCCATCATAGGCTGAGGTAACCCAGGGATGTCAGTAGCAGTGCCAGTGATCCACTCATAGCTAAATTAAGATCGACCCTCGGGGAATTATCCAGGACCTCCCAATTAGCCACTATGGGCCCCCCTCACAACTCAGCTACAGATGGCCGTCTGAGTTTCCTTTAAAACATAACTGGGACCCTTGTGCTCAAATAAGAAGAGTCACCTATTAAAAAGATCTTTAAATCTTTATGCTTTCATGTATGATATTACTGACTGCGAGTTCTTAAACAAGTAGCACAGACTGATCTGTAAGAAAACAGTTCGAGTTAAATCTCAGACAGGCAGCTTTATGAATATCTCCATAGTTGGTTGATTCATTAATTAAAGGTTTTTTAGTTTGACAAAAACTGAAGTTTAGATTTTTAGAGCAAATTTAAACAAGGACATTTGAATGTCCTTGTTTAAATTTTTCTTGCTCAAGCGTTAATGTTTGGTATTTTTGGGAATGAGAGGAACTCGCCTTTTCAGTGGTGTATATAGAACATCGTTATAGAACCTGTTCTGAGGCAGTCATTTCCAGACATGTTGGGTTGCATCACTTTCAATCCAGGACGTTTGTTTCATTATTGTTTTTTTTTAACTCCAAAATAAAATAGATTTATAATTGGACTACATTATATACAGGACCATAACATTTGGTGCAATTTAATCCATTTTTTATCTGTTTTTACTATTTTAGAGCGTAGTTATGTGAACCGAATCACCCTGTCCCCACCCCCTCTCCAGAAAAAAACTACAACAGCTAACATTCATTACAATAAAGTATTTTATGTATATTTTATTGCTAATTGTTTTTTGTTTTGTTTACCTTTTTTTAAACTTGAAATTAGTGGATTTTGAGACAAAAACGGAACCTTTTGATGATCTACTTTATAGATGTAATTTCCAAAGTTTATGTAACTTGCAGAAGTCGTCCTACAAGATAAGACAGCACTTTTATTTTACCTGTTTTGTTTTATAAGGTAAAAACCCATTTAAAACAGTTAAGGCATTTTTGTCTAAACACTGTTGTGATATTCATTAATACAAACTTTTCCCCTGGGTTTTCTAAAGAAGCTTCACAGTTCTGTGTTTCAGAATATATTTATGCAAGACTGAAATTTTTTTTAATGTCAGATATTAATTTAAATCTTTCAGAAGCTGAGTTTCACAATTTATTTTAAATATTGCTTTTTGAGTTTCCAGAACACTTTTAGAAAATTTCTGAATTCTTTCAAATTGTGTTCTGTGTACCAAAATACTTTGCTGTCATTCTGTCCCTCAAAGTTCATGTGAGAAAATTATCTTCAGTTTGTAAATGGCCTGATGTGTGTAAAAGAAGAGTTTTGCTAAGATGCTTTGTCATGTCTGTTTTTCTCCTACTGCCGCTTGTTTAAGTGTACCTTGTGCTTCGTTGTTTTGCAGCCAGCAGCTTGTTGTCGGAGGCTCCGCCCACACCTTCAATGTATAAGTACCGACCAGCCTACAGCAGCCCAGGGAAAAACCACGCTGCTGTCACACATCCAAATAAGGTACATTTGATTTCAATATGCCCACATCTCAAAGCTGAGATCTTGGTCATTCTTGTTCTGCTGGCAAGGACTGGCAGAAAAATTTGAACATGTTGAAGTACTTTTTAAGTGGATGCGATTTGTGAAAAGGAAACTGGTAACTAGTTTAAAAAGATTCATATGGTTGCATGAGCAGGAAAGAAGTAGAATATTAAAAAACACACAATCCTTTGTTTTACTATATGAAGTGGTCTGGAGGAATCTGTGTCTGCCTTCTGCTTTCATTTTTAAGTAAATGCCTTTCTTTTTGTTTTTACTTTAAATTGATCATTCAGTGGCCAACGGTTGAGCAGTAAGTCTCACTGTGTGTTTATCCCACTGACTGTTTGTGTGTTTGACTGGATCTACCCTCTCCCTTCAGACTGCATTGACTGGAATGTGCAGTTCATCCTGATTACTCCATATGTATTTGCACTTCCATTTATGTGTTTACACACATGGTCTTTGCCATGGAGTCCCCAACCAGTCAGTGTTTCCAAGTCAGTAGTGTGATGATGGAGTAGAGCACCAGTTAAGCATCCAATTCTCCCCACCACTCTTGTCTTTTTACAATCTATGCAAAAGCTTTTTACAAGTCCATCTCAATAAATTATAGTGTCATCTGAGGAGCTGTGAGTCTATTAAAAAAAGAGAAGCTGATATCTTCATTACATATATAGTGATGTATTTCTTAAGTTTTGATTATGGTTCACAGGTTATTACTTGCACAATTCAATTCATCAGAAAATTGGAATGTTACATAAGACCAATTTTAAGAAAAAGTTTGGACTCGTTTTGAGTGACTCGATGCTTCCATGCAGCGTGGCATGGAGCTGATCAGAGAATGAACCCGGCTGTTTATCTTCTGCGGTGCTTAGATCAAGCACCTTTCAGGCCATTTAAGCTCAGGAACACAGTGGTCATTGAATACTGTATAAGCACGTGTTGCATGGCTGGCAGAGGTCAAATCCTGCTAGATATTGTAATCAGCGTCTCCATGCTTGCGTCTCCAGAGGGGAAGAATAAGGGGCTTTTACTTTTGATATAGCAGTTCACAGTGGACCTACAGCAGCAGCAGATCCTTAGATCATATCCCAAGCCACTCTATAACTTTAAATTTTAAATAAAATGCACAAATTGCTTTTAGCTAAAAGAGGACATTGGACAACTTTAAAGCAGTCTGGTCCTTTTTCTCCTTTAGTTCACTGACAGTCTCTCTGTTTTACGAGATGCTCAACTGAATAGATGCTACTGTCTGATCCAGTAGAAGCATCTCTTTGGCGGCTTCTAGAGAAATAACTCCCGTCAGAGTCTAACTCTACCAAATATAATAATACTAATTTATCTCCAGGCTGCGGTAAACACCTTTGCTGGTTCAACTTTGTTTAACACCCTGCCCTTTCATTCAACTTCCTTTTAATAATTACCTTGGTAAAAGTTTTGAACATCTATCAGTAGCTGAGAAAGTAACCTAAACTTCAACCTAAACTAAAAAAAACTTAAAAAAAAAAAAAAAAACACACTTCCTAATTGTGGTGTTTCCATTACATTTAAAAAATATTTACAATAATGTTCATGTGAGAAAGAAAAAAGCAAGAAAGAAAAAAACTATGCTTCTTCATCCTCCTCCTACTGTTTCCTGTTGTGGTTTCCGTCCTTATCAGCAGTAGTAACACCTGGATGCTGAGCCTAGGAGGTTTTCTTTCTAAGGCATAAACTTATTATCATAAAAAAAATAGTTTTTATATTAATATATTTAATGGTCTGTGGAAATGTCACTAGTGACACCAAAATATTATCTTTTATGGGTCTTATGTGATCTTCTAGTTCACACAGAAACTGCCTTTTAGGATTTGTTGGCTCTAAGCAGTACACATCAAAACGATAATAATACACATAATTAATGAAAGCCATCACGCTCTGTGTAATGACTATAGTAGTTTCACTTTTTTAATTAAATTCCTGAATAAATTTATTGAGATGTTCCTGTACTTTCTTTATTCTTTCTGAGCTCAGATGGAAATTTTCATCATTCTGCCCCCTGTTATCTCATCTCTCCTCCCTCGCCCTCTCTCCTTCTCTACATGTGCTCTTTTTCTCCTCCTCTCTTCTCTTCAGATGACCCGTGGGGAGAGTCTCGACTCTCAGCCACCCTCCATCCTTCATTCCAGCCGCCAGCCTAGCTACCGCTCGGAGCCGAGCAGCCTGGATGGGGCCACAGTGGTGGGAAGAGGTGTAGGGGTGCGCAGAGGGGGAGGGGACAGGGGTGAGGGTCCTGGAGGCCCCGGCGGGGTCGCTGGTGTGGTGTCAGGGGGCATGTCGGGTTACTCCCTGACTGGGCGCTCCTACACCTCCTACCCATCCTCGCTGGTTCTGTCCACGGGCGGCTCCCACTCATCCAGCCTGCGCTCAGCACAGACTGTACATAACCCGCTGGCCACGCTCCAATCAGAGGGCACCACAGACACCAGCTACAAAAGCCTTGCCAATCAGACGCCTCGGAATGGCAGCCTGTCCTACGACAGCCTTCTGACGCCATCCGAGAGCCCGGAGTTCGAATCTGCTGCCCATGAGCTGTCACCACAGAAGCCTCACGTTCCGTTCCCCCCATTGGCTGGAGTGGGCCGACCCGGGATGGTGTCGCACAGTAGCCCGCTGCAGGGCTACACGTCGCCCTTCCTCTCAGCTCAGATCACTCAGCAGAGGGAGGGGCAGCTACTCCAGGGCTCCACCACTTTCTCCTCCCCCCATAGGGCCTACCTGCGTGCAGTCAGCCCACCCCCTTCCTCTTCCCCCGGGCCTCCCGAGGCCCAGCACCTGCTCCATCATAACCAGGACCAGATTCCCCGAATCCCTCGAAATCCTTCCTCCTCATCCTCTTCCCCGGGGGCTCGCTCTCTAGACCCCCCAGTCTCCCCGCCACCTCGCGGCCTCTCCCTCAGCAGGTCCCCGATTCACATAGGGGACACGGGGCCTCAGCACAAGCCTCGGCCAGCAGGGGCGGGCACTGTGCTGGGAGGGGGAGGAGCTGGAGGAGGGCTACAGGCTCCACAGTGAGTAGTGAACCGTCATCAGAGTCGTCAGCCTGCCACTCTTCTCCTTTTTCTACTGTTTTTCTTTCCCGGTTTGTGTCAGCCTGTCTCTTCCTTCCTGATCTGTGTGAGTCTTCCTTCTACTCCTACATATGTTTACAATCAGTCTGTTATTGTTTACCAGTAACCAATTGGGTTTGTTAATGGAAATGTGTTCTTTTTTTTTTTTTTTTTTCACACATTGGAATCAATGATTTGTACTCTAAGCATGCCAGTATGTTTTTATAGCTCTCACAGCATGGATTGCTCTGCTGGTTTTGGTTTCTGTTCTGTGGACCTTTGTTACCTTTTCTTGAATTAACTCACAAAATAGACCGTGCCTTGAAAATAATAGTCACACCCTGAACTTTTAACTATTGTATCCTGTTACAACCACAAACTTTGTTGAACTTTACAGGATTTGTATTTGGAAATTGGAAGTGGAAGGAAATTGTTTCAGTTTTCAGCATTTCGCTTGAGGCAATATTCTGTAGATCCAAAATTACAGCTGCAAGTAAATTAGACTACATCCAGACCAGATGGATTCATACTTCTGCCAGTTTTTTTTTTTCCATTCTGTGAGATTGGAGAGCATCGGTTAACATTACTTTTTAATCTTGCCACAGATTAAAAATCTGTTTTTTCATCAAAAAAAATAACCCAACTTTGTAGCCTTGTCTGTATGCTTTAGGATGTTGTACTAATGGAAGGTGAATGTCTTTCCCAGTCTCAATCAAACATCTACTCTGGCATTCCAGTGTGTCAGAAAAGCATTTCCACCACATGGTGGTGCCACGTAACCTTTTGCCAGTCAAAGTTTCGTTTTGGTTTCCTCTAAAAAAAATAAATGTGCCCTTTTCATCCGTTTGCTTTTTCTAAAACTGAACCCTGCTTTAGACTTCTTCGCGGCCCTTAGCGTTTTGCTGTTTCCCTCGGTCTTCTTAAAGCTGTTTACACATCTAATAAATCTATGAGACTTTCAAAACACAAATGGATTTATACTGAGAATAAATTACATACAAACTGTGTTGTTTATGCAATTTCAACCTTTTTATTTATTTAATGGCATCAGAAATTAAGGGTCTGACTTCCTGTTGGTCCATTACTTAAAATCTCAGTAAAATTCTTTAAAGTTTATGGTTGTCAATGTGTTATGAATACTTTACAAGGCATTTTGATTCTAACTTATATTCTAAGGGCTTTTGGTGGAAAAAAAGAATTGTCATTTGTATATTGTTTGTATACGCCAAACCTCTCACCTCTGGTTTTCTTTTGTTTTTTTTTCCACATCTCCATTTCCTAAATCAACCTCCAATCAGATCAATCTCTCGCCCAGTCTTGGCCAATCACGGCGCATCCAAACCAGTGGGCGGGGTGAAGAAGGTAACCGGCGTTGGAGGGACCACATACGAGATCTCGGTTTGAGTGACGAAAGTCCAGAGTGATCCAAGACAAGGATGGGTTTGGAGGAACTAAACGTATAAAAATGTCACATCTTGCACTCGCACTTGCGCATCTTTATCTTAGCTGGAGATTATTCATGACCGAAAGCCTCCGAGGAGCGGTTCTTCTGCTGTGGACTCCTGAAGATGGCTTGTCCGGTACTCGTTTCATCTTGATGGCGCTGGCCAGTCTTCTCCACCAGCCTTTCAGGTTTCATCAAAGAGAAACCGGGGAAGCTGATTCATCTCACTGGATCAGTTGCCTCTATTTTTGCCACTTTGTGAGCCATAGACTGATGTGACTGTCATAACGGCTGGGTACAAACATGTCTATGAAACACATAAACCTATTTCCATGATCTGTTATGATGTGTTGGTTCATTAAGACAAAGTATTGACAAGTGTGTCCAACACTTAAGGAAAAGGCGATGTTCAATTTTGACCAATAGTAACATCTGCATGGACCACACAGATGGATGAGTCCAACCTATTAACAGTATCATTTAAGTTTTGTATTTTTTTAAATATCATTTTATATAAATGTAAAAAAAAAATCAGATTATTATATAGTAAAAATGTCAGATATTGAAGATGATGGTGGCAGATGTATGTAATTAATCATGAAAGCTATTTTAGATCATTTGCCTGTTTAATTTTTTTTTCTATATTTGATGGCTGCATCAGCCACTTGCAACCTCTTGCTAGAGTTTTGTTTCTTTGTTTTGTCATCCAAAGACAGATATGATCCTTGCAGGGCACCAGGTGTGGCAAATAATCAAAATATTTTTAAGAAAGAAAAAGAGAAATTTGAATCCCTATGGTTGCAGCACAAGCATCTTTGTGGAATGTACGCTTGTAATGTTTATGCTAGAAGCATTATGCAAAACCTGTCTGTAGCTTTAAGATCATTGTATGTCTTTTTGGTGTTTTTGTTCATTTTATTTTCGCTACTTTTCAGTAAATTGTAAATTAGTTTTAAATGCTACCGACCGCATACTTTTTAACTTATGTTTAGCCAAATAGGGGCAGAAAAGGGAAGGGCTTATTTATTGCACCAGGAAAACAGTTATCTGCACTAATTACGCTCAGCAGAAAAAGAAAAAATATCTTATATCAAAAAAAATCTGAATACAAAATTCCACTAAATGCATCGCATACTTTTTTCTTTTTTAATATTGCCTTGAAACCTTACATAGAGATTAGGCATGGGCTGGTATGAAATTCTCTCAATATAATAAACTGCATTAGAAATAAAAAAATGTTAAAACATGAAACAATTAAAAAAAATGTTTTAACTTTTTCTGTTTTATTACACAGTTAAGCTCCTAGGTGTTTGTACCCTGGCAGGTTTTAATTGGAAATTGCTCTCTTAAAGAAAAAAGAATGTAATTAAAATGCCTCATTAGAAAAGAAAAGCAGGTTTTATTTACACAATAACATACAACATCCTAAAAATGATTTACTCTTCTAAAAAATGAAGGGAAAATCTTTGCTGCAATCCAGCAAATCCTTACAATAACCCATTCTTAAAATTGCTTTGAGTTGTTTTATACAGTAATTTTCCGATTTATGTCTGGTGATTAGCTCCAAGTCCGTGTTTTAAAGGCCTCCTTGACATCGCCATAATCTGGGACTCTTCAATTATATTCTAAGTTAGAAGAAATTAGGCTAAGGGCTTGATTTAATTGGCATTGTGTAAATATCTGCCTTCTTTTATATTTGCATTTGATGCAGAACATGGTTTATGTTCTCCATGTTCTCTTTATAGTTTAATACTTGGAGCTAATATAATTTATTTATGCTAACTTTTCTAGTAGCTAGCCACATTTCAGCTGCTTTAAAGATGTACCCTTCTTAGCTAGCCAACTTTTTTTTTGTTCCCTCTCAATTTCTTTTTAAGGTAAAATGTCCCCAAATAGTATATTGTATCAATTCCAGAAAGCTGAGTAACATTTTATGGCCTTTCAGCCAGCTGACAAGCAGGGCGCAGCAGAGGACTGGAAGGGCCTAAAACAGAGAAAACAGTCCATCATGTTTCTATCCTGGCATATTTTCTATGGATTTTAAACTGTGAGGACGATGGAAACTTCAGCAGCTGAAATTCTTGTAAACTTTGACCAGCCCATGCCTAATGGTGAATCAAGTTTTCTTTTTTCCCTATTGAAAAGTAAAGTGTCCTAAATCTATTTGATTGGCTCGTTTATTTTGACCATTTATTGTTCACCCTCTGCCATGTTGAGAACAGATCTTAGACAAAGGGAGAAGCTTGTTCTGGTCTGGGCATTGCAGACTTTGTACCCTTTTTTTTTTGGTTTTTCTTTTGTTAAAGACCCACGTAGTGTTTGCAGTAGAATGTCAAAGCTTTGTGAATGTGGCACATCTGTAGAGGGGAGATGAATGCTGTAAGCACATGAGTAACAGACCCAAACAAATGTGTTGTGAGTTTCCAACCCAACCAGGCTATAACTTTAGCATGCATGTGTTTTAGTTTTTTTTTCTTTCAGTTTATTTTCGGTCACACCAATTGCTTCACTTCTGTGCATTCTTTTGTGATCGTCAGTTCCAACCCACTTCACCTGTGGGTGACAGAAACCAACATCACTGATGGCACAAACCTGCGTTACTTCCCAGTGCAGCGGACAAAGACTATGGCCACTGAAGGACTATGAAAACGTGGGCACATAGGAAGTACTTTGAGAGATTGCATATTGTTATCGATGGTTGTGACGGATGGAATGAGTTTCACAAATAGCTGTAGTCAGTATATGAGATACATTTCCAAAATGGCCTTATAAAGAATTTTTAAGAAGATGTCTACTCAGAATAAAAGGTCAAACTGTTTAATTTTTTTTAATTGAGTCTTTTTTTTTTTAATACAGTAATTTTATTTTGGTTTTGTAATCCGACACAAAAGTAAACAGGCAGTTTCACAAACACAGGTAGCAAACGTTGACATGCAACTATGAAATTATGCCGCCATTCTTTACAAAAACCCTAAAAAAACTTAAATAAATTAACATCCCTTTACTTTTGCTTGGTTTTGGTACAGTTACATGTGTTGCAATAAGACTTGCTCCATATTTCAGCTTTGTGGATTTTTTTTTTTGGACTGTCTGAGACTGAAAGAGCCATAATTGTCTGAATTTTAAACAAAATGCCACACAAAACTTGCTCTGATCCTGTATCTCCTCACTGGTCTTTCTTGCTTTCTGTTGGCTCTTCCACTCCATTGGATTCCTGATGAAGCTCTTCGCTGCCCTCTTCTGTCTGAGGATGGTTCTGCTTTTTGTTCAGCTTCTTGGATTTTTGGAAAAGCTCATTCAGGTTGAATTCTCGAATAATGTTCTCCTGGAGGGGAGAGTGAATGTTCTAGTTATAAAGCTGTTTCACTTTAGTGAGTTTAAAAAAAAAAAAAAAAAAGAATTAACACAGTAAAGATAATGTATTAGATAAAGCAGAACAGACAAACCTCATTAAAGGTCCAAGACACAGCTCTGCCCTTGTTGTCCACCATTGGACGTCTCATAACTTCCCGTCCTCCTTGAAAAAGCAGCAGAGATGGCAGCTGCTTAGCCAGAGGAGATGTGCTTACCTTGTACCTGTTTATTAAAAAAAAAAAAAAGAAGACCAAATCCCAGAATTCATATTGTAGCATTAAGTTGATAATTAAAAAATTTGAGTAAATACAAAAAAATAAATAAATCACCTTTGAGAAACCTCTCCATACCGACCAATGTCCACCTTCCCAAACCGGAGCCCAGCACAATTGTATCTAAAATAAACAAAAATAAAAACAAGGTAATTGACTTTCATTGGATAAAAGGTTCAACACCACATATCTAGAATGAAAAACCGCTATGCCTGCCTCCTTAATGGATTTCCTCTTAAGGTCAGGTGGTGTTTAATAATTAAAAAAAAAGAGACTTGATTGGCTGCATAAAGTCACACGACTATTTTAAAATATTTAAACTGTAAGGATGGAAGAAAAAGATACAAAATATAGATTCATGAACGAATCCATACTTGTGTTACAATAGGGAAGCTAAAGTGTCATTCATGATACATTTATACACCACCAAGAGGACATGTATGAGAAGCTGTGAGTATCAGCAGTACAGACCATGGAAGCTGCAGCTGGATCAAAACAAAAGATATTTTTATTTCAGTGTATTTCCTCTGCCTGCCTTAATATTTCTAATTGTAACCAAATGCTTTGTGAGCAAATCCACCTGCACTTAAAAGTTATTCAATTCAGAAGACTCAGCAATTTCTTTTACTGATCTATTTTCCTTCAAGACATTCAGAGAAATCTAGGTGGCTCTCAGACTCCAAATAAAGAACAAATCGCTCACTTCAGAGAAAGGTTGGCAAAGATGGGAGCGAAGGACTGGCAGTCAGAGGACCAGTTGGCGTAGAACTCAACAAGCCAGGTAATGCGACCATCCCTCTGCAGCTCCTCCTGATGATGACACAGATTTGGTACAAGAAGACCACCAAGGTCAAATGAAACACTTAAATAATGTTTTGCATTCAATCAATTCATTTTCACTGCTCTATTATTCAACGTTTAAACTAGAAATTGACATATACAGGTTTTTTAAGGCCTATGGAAATTATTTTGACTTTAACAGTTTAACTAATAGCTGATATTTTTGGGACCTAATAAAAATTACACGAGAACAAATGTTACAAACTGACATTGGTAGAAACTAGTTCAATTTACTTCAGTAACTTACTGAAAATATTAGGATTAGTTTTACAGCATTTTACTTTTACTTGAGTAAAAATATACAATAGGCCTCCTCTTAAAGGTATAGTGGAGGATGTTCTTTTTCCGGGTGGATCATCAAAATAAGCCGTCCTCCTAAATGTCAATCATTCTGGTGATATGTTCACTTACCAGTGGAAATCTTTTGGAAAGTAAGCTTGTATGAGTGATGCAAACAGCAACTTTAAACAGCGTGCACGAGGAAAAATGTGCTCGTGCACGCTCTTGCACGCGTTTAATAGGTGTTCTCTCTCAGGAGCGGGTACAGAGTTGTGTTTTTTTTTTAAGTGGAGAGGGCGGGTCTTTTCAAAAATTCATGAAAACCACACTTTTAATTAAAATTCCTGGATACTGCATTTTAGTTTCTTCACTTGAACCAAACAAGCTTGTGTTATACAAATATGCAAGAAATAGCGTTAAAATACAGTAAACAGTTTATGGTAATGTAACCTTTTCTTACAAGCTGTTGATTTTGTAGGTTTTATAAGTTGAATGTATTTTGAAGAGTATTCATTCCACCTAAATTTTAATTGTGTAATCACTGTGTCTTATTATTTTAAATATCACAATATGGATATCACTTAATATTTGGTACAGTTTCATATAATTTTGGAAAATATTCAATCAGTTGTTATGCTCATGGTAAGTACTGTAAATCATTTACTTAGTACTTGGGTATCATTTTTACCAAATACTTTTTTTTCTCTGGAGTACTTAATTTTTACTTGAGTTAAATATGGTGTACTGCTACTCTTAAGTACAATGTTTGGGTACTTTACCGACCTCTGGTTACAGAAATCTTAATTTAAACAAAACAACAAAAAATAATAATTGGCAACAAATCAAACTAAACACTGACAATGGACGGAGCGCTAATAAATGCACTTCACTTGGATCTTAAGACATGGCTGCTGAATGTATCCTCTCAGTCTCTAATCCCACTCCATCTTTTACGACAATTACCGTAAAGAAAAGTCAACAACAATAGATTCATAAATACCAATTAAAATGAACTACAATCTACTTTAAATCACTAAAACTACCAACTTTAAAGTGCAACTAGTTTAAATGTGGCTGTTGATTCAATTATATTAAAGAATTTAAAGGCGCTACCAACATATAAATAAAATGGTCAAACTGGGTAATTTATCCAATTCATTTCTACTACATCCCCCCAAACTATCGGCCAGTGGAGGCATTGCTTCACCTCTAGTATAAACATGATTTATTAGATTAAAAACAAGAAGAACTTACATCTATGGTTTTGTCGCTGAAGTACTTTATGTACTCTGGGCCCATGTAGAGAGGAGGCTTGCACGTCATGACAAATGCTACAGACAAAGAAGGAAATATAAAGAAAACAGATGTAAATACTAATTTGAGTATTAAAGGCAGACGCTTGAATTAATATTATTATTTTATATGAAATTCAAGATGATTCAAATAATACAAATGCAAGGACAATACATTTTTTGCATTAGTTGTTAGAGATGGGAAGTAATCAGGAAAGCCTGGAAGTAATAATATTAACAAACATTTAAAAGCAGTTTTCAAAAAACTCCCAGTGTTTAACACCTACTGCTACCCCAGGTAAAGATGTCTAACACTAAAGCTTCATAGATCCTCTCCCATACTTAAGATGATGCTTTAAAACAATCGTTTGTTTTATATCAAAGCTATCAGGAGGTTTTGTTGCAAAGAAATCTTGACTGGTGACTTATAGAATGCATAAGGTATATTTATAATATTAGGACAAAAAAAGCACTCTATTGAAGATAGAGTTTAAACCTTAATAGTTTTAATTTGTATGTTTATTAAATGTATGAAAGTACATTTCAGTAAATTTCCACTAAATGTAGTGAAAGACTTTTACACCTTGTTTTTAAAAAGAAGCGCTACCACAGGTCATTCATCCCTGCTGCCATCAGACTTTACAATGCTGCACTATAACTGCAATAAGGAATGTGCAATTACTATTTAATACCCTGTGCAATAATCCTGTTAAATAAGAAAACTCAGCTGTTATAGATATCTCATTGCCCCACTGTTGTCCTTAACGTGGTACCACTTTAACATACAATGCCAAATCCATATGTGTATACAATAAGTTACCTTAAATGTACATGTCACCTTAAATCTCTGCCTTATTGCTTTTTTTTTTTCTCAATCCACTGTTATATATATGTGGACGCACTGTATGTGTGTATATATATATATATCCCATGCACTTTTGTTTCTCCTTCTTATGACTATTGAGCCAATGGGACAAGTTAATTTCTCCATTGTGAGATCAATAAACTCAATAACTCTATCTTATCTTAATTATTATGAAACTAGAAAACCTATAGCTTAAGCTGCACAATTGGCTACTTGGTTGGTCAGTAGAACTGGATGAATTTGGGTTCCATTTCAACTAAGTTTCATTTTTTATTTATTTTTATGTTTTATTGATTACATTATCTTCCATAGTACAACTTTATGTGGATACTTTAGGAGCAGCAGAGAGAGCATGTGTTATTCTGTGGCTTTATGAATAAATTTCTCCAATGTGAGATCAATAAAGTTGAATTAAATACTGATTGCAGTGCTGATCTGTGGAACCCTAATGAATGACTGACCTACACACAGAGCAAGGTAGAGGATGCCCAGCCGAATGTCCAGCCTGAAGAAGAGGATTACATTGGCCACTTTGCTGAACATGAACAAGTTCCCTATGTGCTGCTCCAAGGTTACTGAAAAAGAAAAGAAGAATCATTAACTTAAGCATGTAGGGGAAAACCTTCAGACTTCTGAGCAAGGTCAAATGAGGGTGGGATTACTCTGCACCTATAATGTTTACACAATAAAGGCAGGATTTCAGGGAATGACTTCCTGGATGTGTCCTGCTCTCTTATCTAAACTATCAAACAACAATTAACTTTGTATTCACAGAACATTTCTATGTCACATTAAAGACAAACAATAATAGTTGGACTTACTGGCTCTTCTATTCTTCATCATCACTATTGCACTCAGAAACATCAGTATCTCAACTTCTCTCTGTAAAACATACAAACAAAAACACATTTATAAACAATCTTATTAATATTTAATAAGTTATTATCTTATCAGAGAGCAGCCCTGCATGCAGCACCACCCCCTCCTCTCCCAGCATGCTCACCCAGTCGAAGTCACAGGAGTTGCCGTCCTCCCGGTCGGTCGCCAGGTGCTCGCACAGTCCAGGAGTCTTTCTTACCACCAAGAAGGCGACGGTCATTAGAAACGACACGATATAGTAAGGTTTCAGTAGCCATTTGTAAATCTGAGGTAGATGATACAAAAGGGTGAGCACTCCCGTTATTAACCCCATGCTGTTAGAGGAGACAGTCCACCAGGACACACTACAGGGGTGAAATGAAAAGACAGCTGAGAAGCGTGGGTTACACTGCGCATGCGCGCACAGCACAACTCTTTTTTTTTTTTTTTTTTCTCTCGCGCTTTTTGGGTACAGCGGCTTGCCGTAGATTTGGCGGGTACTTCCGAAAAAACGTAAACAAAGCTCGGTGAAGATGGAGGAACACGACACCCCAGGAGAGACTGAAGATGGGAAGCAGAAAGAAAACGAGTCCACCGAGAAGCAGAGCGATACAGCAGGCGGTGGAGAAGCTTCTGGTAAAGCCGCGGAGGAGACGACTGCTCGGTACAACCGGCTGAAGCTGTTCGATAAAGTGATCCAGAAAAGCCTGAACAGGTTCATAGAGAATGCCAGGTAATATGTCAGAAAAACTGCTAAAGAAACAACATTTTAATTAGTTCGATCATGCTGTACTAAATGTTAGTAGTCTATGAAAATGAACTTTATTTAACCCTTTATAGGGCCCTCAGTTATTGGAATCAGGACAAGACCTTATGACCTTTGGAACATAAAAAAAATATGGATACTTTGATGGCAAAAATTTATGTCAATGTAATAAAAAGAAACGCCAACTTCCCGAATATATTAAGAAAAATGACAAAAGTGCTTCTATAAGAACTTCATGCAAAACACTGAGAGTGAAACAAACGCATAACTTTGGTACAACATAACCTTAGAGGCATTAATGCTGAAACTGAGACTTAAATTTTTTAGTATATAAATCTAAATATAATAGTTAACTAGAATTAGGAACTTTTTAATTTTTCACCTTTTTTTTTAACACATTTTTGGACTGTGGTAGGAAGCCGGAGTACCTGGAGAGAACCCATGCAGGCAGAGGGAGAACATGCAAACTCCATGGAGAAAGACCCGAGGCTGGGAATTGAACCCGAACCTTCTTACTGCAAGGCAGCAGTGCTACCCATTACCTTTTTTTTTTCCTAACTTGAGAAATGATAACGATGAACAATGCCATAAATGCCCACCTCTAAAGGTCTTAACTTAGCCTGGCCCTCTTTTTCACCAAAGCAAATTATCCTAAGATGGTCTTGGAAAAAAATAATCAGTTTTCTTCAGATTTGTTTTTCTAAAGATTTATGACCTGAAAAAAAAAAGCAATAAACACAACAATACTTTGGTTTCCATAACTGCATGTCTTTTTTTGTTCACAAAGATGAAGCAGAAAAATTACAAATCAGCTGTAAACGAGGCAAAAACAACAGGGCTGACACATCTCTCTTACAGTTTTAAGGTATTTTCCAGCAAGTTCCGTCCGCTGTACAAGGAGAACGTTAAGAGGATGGAAGAAATTCACAATCAGTTTACAGTGGTGCTGCAGAAATCTATACAGGTGAGAAGCACAATATGTAACGCATGTAAAGTTCAATGCCTTTTTAATTGTTTACATTTGCAGACAGCATTGGAAATGGTTGTTTACTGGTGTATTTTTTATTATTTACAGGCTGTGTGATTAATTATTCAACTAAAGTTTTAGCAAAAGTTTTGTGGTTTTGATCTTGGACTGAAAGAATGGTTTGTGAAACAAATTGTGTCATGATTTAGTATAAACTGGGGTCTCTGTGCTTCATTTGATGCTGTCCTCTAGCAGGAGACTGAAGAAGAAGCCCTTATAGTGAATAAGGAACATCAGTAACATTGTGTCAGAGTTAAATACTAAATTCTCAATTATTTCTCTCCTCAAATCAAGGAGGACATCATAAAATTAATGGAAGAAGGCAAGATTGAGAGCAAATTTCAAGAACTGGACAAGCTTGAAAATGAGGCAAAGGACAACCCTGAACCTGCATGGTCAGTAGAAATCTATACTTTCAAAAAACTTTCTCATTCTCACCATTTTTTGTAAGTAAAAGAGCTAATTAATGGCTTTATAATCATGCCCAGGTGCTGGTGTTTTTTTCTTCTTCTATTTTATCACTATTATTTGTTCACTTAAGAAAAGTGAGTGCAGAATATTAAGATGTCTTCTGGAACCGCTGACTTAGTTCTCTTTTGCCTTTATAAGGAAACAGTTACTGGTTAAATATTAAACTTGGTAGTATTTGGAGATTTAAATTAATCATACCGAAATAAAAAAAAATGAGCAAGCTCTTTTATAAAAAGACAAACTATTTTTCTTTTAAAAATTATCAAAGCTGTAAGATTTTTGGTCTCCCTTTTTTTATAATTTCTCTAAGGCGGCCCAGTGGAGTTCCTGAACAGGACTTCTGCAGCTTTTTGATGCCATACTATCAGAAGCAAAAAGCTTATATGAAGCTTGAGCTGAAGAAAATTCAAGCTGAAAACGCCGCGCTGGCAGAGAGGGTTCGAGCAGGGAGAGAGAAGATTGCTCAGACTGAGCAATGCATTTCAACGGATGTGGATGAGTGGAATGTAAGGAATAAGACAAAGCAATTTGTATCATACTTTAAAGATTTACAGGCTGCAGCTTTAATAAGTCTAATGTCTCTGGGGGCTTAAATTAGACATTGATCGCTAAATGTTCTTTTCCAGGCCAATACCTATTATCTTGACATCAGTATAGCAGATCCATGCATTGGTTAATTTTAAAGAATTAACTTTTAGTTTATTAGGCAAAGATGTTTGAGGCAAAAATAAAAAAATAAACACATTTTTAAAGATTTAAATATTTTTGTGAATTAAAAAAAATATTAAATGGTCAAAAGTTAAAATCCAAATTGATTGATTAATGGTTCTTTTTTGTTTGTTTTTGTAATTTTCAGGCAAAAGTGATCGACTTTGAAAGAGTGACCTCTTCCCTTAACCCTGTTGATTTTTTTGATGAGTGATTTTTTTTTTTTTAACACAGCAAACTGTTTAAATGTAAATATTTGTTTACTCAACTATTATGTTAAAAATAAATAAACAAATACAGTTTATTATGTTTGTGGGTCTTTTTTATGTTTGCACATGGTATTACGGTATTGGGCGTGTTTATTTTCGGTATTACGGTACATTAGTCATGAAAATAAAGCCACAAAGAAGAGAAGGAAGCCAATTGACGCACGTATGGATAGCCGCTAACCCTAAGTTAGACTAGAAAATATCGGCTTTTTCTTTCTTTAAATGCGTTTTGTGTATTACTATTGATTGATAAATATGACAGAAATGTATTCCACTCTGTTTGGGCCAAATGAAGCCCAGGGACCGCCGGGGTCTTCGTCTTTAGGTTTTGGAGCCGGAAAACCACCGCCACCCATCCCGCAGAATCAGGTCTCTATGCCGGGGCAGATTCCACCACAGCTCGTGGATGAAGGGCCTGCTCTGCGAAAGTCCGGAGTCATGAACGAACATTTCTATTTACTGCGAGAGCTTCCTGGTACAGTTCCATTATTACACGACCCGGATACATTGGGTGATATTTGTATTCAAAACATAAAAATATAACGTGTTATTGGCTAATAAACACTTTGAAAACTATCGTGCTAACAATGCTAACTACACAGTTGAAGCTAACTTATTAGCCAATCTTTTGTCATAAGGACAGTTTCTTTTTGTACATTTTGTACATTTATACTTTCTCATATAATCTTAAATTTAAACGATTTGGTTTAATAGACTATATCGTTTTGCTTTTTCCTAATAAAGACCAGAGTGAATGTGCTTCCTTGTAGCATCAACAGTCCTGGTTCACATAAATGTTACAGAATATGTCAAATAACTTTATCATAAATATATATATATATATATATATATATATATATATATATATATATATATTCGTGAGGAAACCTTTGCTGACATAAATTTGTGTCTTTAGTTGGAAACGAATTAACAGGCAACACAAACCTCATCACACACTACAACCTGGAACATGCCTACAATAAGTTCTGTGGGAAGAAAGTGAAGGAAAAGCTCAGCAACTTTCTGCCCGAGTTACCAGGTAAGTTGAGCAACTACACTGTCATTACATTTATTTTCAAAACTTGCATAAGCCACTGCTAGATTGAGATATATTCGTCTCAAAACTTGAGCAGCCTCTTGCCTTTAAGCTGTTTTTAAATCTCAACTTGGTTTAGTGAAAAAAGCTTAAAGATTATGGTGATTGCATTGAGTTTCTTCAACTTCGAAGATTTGTCCAGTCCAGATTCAATTATCATAGAATGGTTGTAATTAGGAATCCTAAGTTGAGCCATTGAAAGGGTCGCTATATTAGTGAGACACCTTTGCACATTATGAGTATCAGCAGAGTTTTATAAGGAAAATACTTTCTTATAGCAATAAGAGATTTGATACAGCTCAATAAAAGCTAATTTGATGTGTATCTGTTCAAACACGTTTTCAGGAAATGTATATCAGAGTAACTTCAAAATGGGGCTGTGATGAATACGGCTTACAGTGACTCCAATCTGTCAATCGGCTCCTCCTAAAAAACTGAGAGGTTGTTGGATCTAAAAGTGGCACAGAGATGCAAAGTTACTTAGTAGCCTTATATTATGCTGGACAGTCTAAACAGAGGTCAGTAGGATTTCCGAACACACATACCCTCCCTCCACGTTCCTCCACTGGCAATGCTCTCCATCAGTACCAAGGGAGGGTCTCAGATTGTTAAGAGCTGGAACATCTAGAATTGCCGGTAACCTGCCATAACTAAGATTGATATTTGTAGTAAATTTTTTTGTTCTGTGCAGTATGCATTTGTAAAGGCCCCTATGGAAAGCGTTTGCAAATGGGAGGGACATTCAGTGCAATTCTTCAAGTTGATTGGGTTAATTAATTAACACATTCCTCCCATGTTGGGCTTTTAGCCAATCGCAGTGGCAGCTGTGAGGTATCACATTCTTAATCTGTTTAACAACTAACAAAGTTAACTGATAAACCAAAGTCTTATTAAATCTGGTCGGGAGGAAAATGCAAACATCTTTCCCAAACACAAAGACAAAAATCTTTTCCTTTTGCTTGTTTTTGTTGGTCTGAAACATATCTGTGTCAAGGTTAACACAACTGTTGTCTTCTGGCAAAAATGTTTTTGGTAGTTTGTGAGTTCACAAATCTTGCGACAGTTCATCTTACTTGCAAGGTAACCAAGGCTGCATGCCTTTACAAAGCCAAATAGACACATTTTATTGCCTACGTCTTGTTCACCTGATTAATCATGACTTTTTTTTTTTTTTTTTTTTGGTCTTTTCACTTTGAGGACAAAAATGTATTTTTATTCTCATCAGCTCAGCTGAATGCACAGTTTTGACCTGAATAGAGGATTTCTTAGGGTTTAAATCTGGCTAATAATATTTCTTGATATGTTGGGTGGTTTTATATAAATATGTGATTCAGTTTCATGCTTTAAGTAAAAATTGCTCAAACTCATGGAAAAACATCACAGCACTACCTTTACACCTTGGCTCTCTGGGTCAGTTTGTGATGCCAGTGGCCACAAACAAAGATTTTAAAAAGGACAGCTATCTTAACTCTGACAGCCAGATAAAAGCTGTTGTCAAATCGATCGTTGTTCAGCTGCGGCAGCTTGCCAAAATAAAGTTCATGCTGTGCAAACCACAATTTGAGACAGTGACCAACACATTTTTGAAAACTCCTCTTACTGTAATGCCCTTAATTTGGTGTTGGCATCTTCAGTTGCCCATCTGAGGACCGTTCAAAATGCTGTTGCACAAATTTTAACTGGGACATGTAAGGTTGAACATATCTCCCCAGTTTAAATTTCACTTGACTGGCTGCTGGTTAATTTTGAAATTCTTTTATTTTGTTATAAGTCTTAAAGTGGCCTTGCCCCACCATATATCTCTGATCTCCTATATCCTGATGTACTGCTTTGTTCTCCTTGATCAACCTGATCAGGCAGGCAGACTCCCTCTTTGATTATTGCAGTCTCATATTTCCTGGCATTCAATGCCCAAAAGTACATTGGTGTTGGTTGATTTAAATGTTTTCTCTTTTATTTTCTATATTGTTTTTACTTATTTATTTATATATATTTTTGATTAATCCTATGGTAATTCTGCTTTTTTTTTGCAACACTTTGTTCCTGTTGTTTTTTAAATTTCTATATAATTAAAAGTGGATTGGATTGATCTATGATCCACAAAAAGTCGATCTGTTGGAGGTCTGTAAACTCAAATTTCTAAAATATCATGTCTCAAAGTGAAACTATTTTCACTGTTTGCACGGTACCTCCATGGAACCCCACCTCAGTCAAAAAATAAAAACAGTGGTGCCACACAGTGTTTTGTGGATGTCCATTTCGCTTGTAATTTCCCTCAATGTTTCATATGTTACAGCACCACCAACAGGTCTGGCGCTCTTGTGGAGACACACACAGGAAAAGTTTCTGAAATAATAAGCATTTTGTTTTATGTGAAAGTAACAAACTGTTGATATTTGATTTGGATGTTATTTGAGCTAGGGATACATAGTATAAAGATGGTCACTATGGCTGTATTGTTAATTATCAGTGAGCTTTATAATTTAGCTACTGTTGCCTAAACAGATCCGATCTAATAGACCAATTATTATTGCAGTGCACAGGACAAACTCTTGGAATATAAAAGCCTACTACATTCCACTTAGATTGCACAAACCAACATTGGGACAGCCTTAAACTCAATGCTTTTTGTAGGGTTTTTTTTTTTTGCTCTTACTGAACATAAAAAAAAAAAAAAAAAACTTGTAGTGGTTGAGTGAGAATAATTGAGTAAATTTGTGCCACAAATACAGAAATAAATCCAGTTTTGTCACAGAGGCTCTGTCCATTTCATGTAAATGGACATAGCAATTACATATATTGGCTGAAAGCATACCTGCAGCCACACTTATCCAGCTTAGGCTGCTCTGACCCGTGCTGCAGAAGCATTGATAAGGCAGCTCACACTGAATCGCTGAATTACTGTTAAGTAATCTCTAGATAAAGAACTTAATTGCTTAAAATAATGTATATTTTACTCTTAGCAGTTTCTTGTCACTGACCAAAAATGGACCCCAGAGTTTCGACAGTTATTTGTCTCGTTTGTTGCAGGTATGATTGACTGTCCGGGTACTCAGGACGGCAGCTCGTTACGCTCCCTGATCGATAAGCCTCCAGTGTGTGGGAACTCCTTCAGCCCGCTGACTGGTGCTTCGCTCACAGGCTTCAGACTACACACAGGACCGGTAATATTTCAGTATTCTGTTCCTTCTGCTAGCATCTTTAACAGATCAGTTAACATTATTATGCATTGTAAACTAATCCATGCACATTTTCCCAGCTCCCAGAACAGTACAGACTGATGCACATACAGCCTCCAAAGAAGAAAAGCAAACACAAACACAAGCACCACAGACCACAGGACCCTTTACCTCAAGGTATGACAAATGAAAAGTTTAAATTACAATGAGTGTGACTGGTCTGCAGAACACTTACCGAGCTGCTTCTTCAATGTTTCAGAAACTCCCTCAGACTCTGATCCCAAGAAGAAGAAGAAAAAAAGGGATGATGATCCGGATCGAAAGAAAAAGAAGAAAGACAAGAAAAAGAAGAAGGTGAGAATAATCTTTTAATACCAACATGGTGATTTTCTTTTTCTCTATGTATAAAATTAATACTTTTTTTATAACCTCATATTGGGCTTTAAACATTCAGTAAACGTTGTCAGCCTACAGAATTAAAGGCCTCATTACTACACTTTGGGCATAGCAGTAACTTTTATTATTGTTGATCTAAAAGTGGCTGAAAGTATTTGAGCCTTTCTTTTCTCCCTTTAGTTAGTGTGCCTAACCTCTGTCAGACAGACTGCAATTTAATTTACTTGGAACTTTCTAGCATTTAAAATTAAATCTAAATGGGATAATTATTGTTTTCTTACTGTTTTCCTTTCCTGTCGGATAAATATAGAAGTAGTTCTGAAGGCGTTCATGTTGTGAGTGACAATTTTATGCCAGCTG